GTTGAAAATAAACATACTATTTACTGTATAATTCTGGAACATGTGAAATTCACAACCGCATCAGGCGAAAATCGAAAATGAAGATCACAAATCACAAACATTTTTGAAAGAATGACGCCAGCAGAGAGAGAGAGAGAGAGAGAGAGAGAGAGAGAGAGAGAGAGAGAGAGAGAACCTTGTCTCTCTTTTAACTTTTCAAATGTCGAAACTTCAAGGAACGTAAGGTCGGTTTCAAAGAGGGGAGAAACGCCTTTTCGTAATTCACTTATCAAAACATGCCCGGCATAGATAATTCAGGTGAACAATTTTATACTTTTTCTTCTTCCTTTTTTGGGATAAGTGTCTTACCACCCTCGCAGCTGCACTAGGTCATGGACGCGCAGGACACATTTTCAGTTTGGTAGGAATTAATTCTGAATCTAGCCCTAGGAGCGGCTGCAGCCTCCTCTTAACGATTTTAGAAAAGATATAGATATTAAAGGAAACGGAAAAAACTGATTTTCTTCGTCATTTGGTGTTCGTTTGAAATTCACAATTTCACCAGGAGACGACCTACGACATACATTAAGAGATACACGATTTACCTCCAAATATAACTTGATCCATTATCTCGGAGAGAATGAAGGTATTATAGTAAACTGGGTAGCAAACTGTTATGCTGGCTCCGGGCGAGAGCAAACTGTGCCTTTGTGTGCGCTCTGTATGTTATGGGCTTTTATGCGTGAGACATTGACGTTCTCAAGGCTGTCAGCTATTGTATTCGAAGCTCCTTGAGGCTGACCTGAGTCATCCATAGATGTTTAATATCCTTGGTCGCACACTATGCCCTATTTCCGGAAGCAGTGGCGGACCCGCAATCCTCTCCGCCTCATGTACCTGACGGTGTAGGGAGAGGCTAAGTCAGTAAGTTAGTATTAGACCCGCTGTTGAAGCCACATGCACGCCAAGGGGAGAAGCCACCGTGTGAACCTGGCTATAGTGAGACGGGTGTCTGGCAGCGTTTCCAACTTGATATTACTATAAAATGTGCTGGAAAAATGTTTCACTTTTTATTCCTGTTTTAGTCGAAAAGAGAGATTCACACAACTACATAGAAGTACAGTTTCTTTGCTGCAGATCTGTGTCCCAGAAAGTTGTGTGTGATCTCAGAGTGTATTTTATTTTGCTACATTTTGTCCTCCACTTGTGATGGCGCAACCCATGTTTCTCACTTTTCACATTGGTGATTTTTATTGACCAGAGCGAGAGAGAGAGAGAGAGAGAGAGAGAGAGAGAGAGAGGAAGAGAGAGAGAGAGAGAGAGAGAGAGAGAGAATGCCCAGGACAGTGCGTGGTATGAGATCCATTAGTACAAGTCTATGGATTTATCGAAACAATGTACTGTCTTGTTTGTTATCTGATATCTGCTATCTGGTTGTTTTTTAAAGAGTTTTCACATTGTGCATTGTGATATTGTATACTTTTTTTCTCAGTCGTACTTAGACCCAATTTGAAACTCCAACGAGGTCATGCCATATTTTAACCAGTGTAATCTTTAAAATGGATTTGTCAATTGTATACGCAGTCGAATGCACGGTATCAGGTCGAGTAATAGCGCCTCCTATTGCAGACTTTTTCAAACTGACTGTCCCTTTGCCTCATCAAATTTGATCTGAAGTGCAATAAGGCATATTGCATTCCGCTTTGTAACAAAGATCTGAACCCTGCGATGTGTTGCAGCCCTCTGAATGGATGATAGTCTTTGAATCCACGTGGCCCAGAAAATCACATATTTTTGGACTTCAGAGGGTTCAATTAAATTGTTCCAAAATAGTAACTTTTGCCCCTCAAAGAAGGAAAATCTGACCGCCCTCAACTGTATCTAAACTGTCAAATGTGGATTTGTGCAATGTGCACTGGGTGTCAAAGAGATGGGTTGCATGTGGTCCCTCTTTGCTCTATCTCACGAGACGCTACCTCCACTCAGCTCCTTCCTCTTTCTTCCATCATATATTCTGTTCTGTGGTATACAATGGTGCTCTGAGTTTCACCCGTTTCAAGTCCAGAATAAATTACTTTAGGTACAACCTTTTGCATAGTGAATAACAAAGAAACAATTTGAAAAATAAAAAGCTGGCCCAAAGCAAAAAAACCCAAGTAAACAGAGAAACAAAAGAACCAAAAAACCCACCAACAAACAGACGATAAAAACAATATTGCACACCTATTGAAAAATAAATATGTGCAAACTCAGGGATCATAAACTGGTTACTGTTTTTTTACAAACACCTTTAGCCTCATAAAAATGACTTTCTTTATTACCACTAACCACCAACACATGTCTAACATCAAATATCTACAACTAGTTCAATAGGATGAAGAGCTTCCCGCAACCCCCTTTAGTTGCTCTCAACCAACATCCCAATCTTGGCAACTTCCTAATCTGTTCGAAAGCTACAACATGTCTTCCAGTCCTACAAAACAACCTCTCGATAGCCTTTTTAGAATCACCTCCTACACATAACTCAGGTGTGAAACTTGCCCTCACATAGCAATACAAAATATGTAGATCTCCCACACCCCCCAACCCACAAAACATGACAGTAAAAACTGTGTAGAGA